TAGAGAAGGTGTGGGAGGGGTTGTCAGGACCTGTATTAGCCCCTGGTGTATGTTTGGGGGCAGCAGAATGTTATGGAGCTGAACAGCCTGAAGGAAAAAGCTGTTTCACATGGGGGTGTTTCCGGCCTGGAGGCTGTGGGACCTCCTGCATGATGGTGGGGGTCAAAAAGACTCCCCAAGCAAGGATATGAACACTCTTACCATTCTGTTGGCTCTATGGATGCATGGATGCTGTTTTTTTTTGTAGATTTTATGGTTGGGAGTTCCTGTGATATGTTGTGCTGTTCTAATAATCTGCTACAGAGTCTTAACATCGATGGAGCTGCACGAGCTGCTCCAGGCAGATATTCAGCTTCTGAGGATGCTCTTTGAGGATGCTCTTTGAGGATGCTCTTTATGGCTCCCCTGTAGAATACAGTGACACTCAGTGGGGGGAGTCTGACTCGTTTCAGCTACCACAAGTGTAAGTGATATCATGCTTTCTTAGCTAGAGTGGAGACATTCCAGCACCCGGTTCAGATTCTTGTGGAGGTGTATGCCAAGGAATGTGATCAAGAGCATAGATTTGGGTATGGATTGTAAGGGCATATCCTTACTAATATTGTAGGAGTACTGTGTATGCTTAGGCAGACAGGCGGTGTGGGGTTAATTTTGTCCCTGCCGGGTGTTTGTTGCCCTGTCTACAGTGGATCCACCAATAAACAGTGTAGGAAGCGCATCCCTTATTTTGTGCAACCTTGTCTTTGGTTTTAGTCACATTCAAGCACAAGTTGTTCTCTTTGCACCAACTTGCAAGCTGCTCCACCTCCTCTCTGTAAGCTGCTCCTCCTCCTCTCTGTAGACTGCTCCTCTTCCCCTCTTTAGGCTGCTCCTCCTCCTCTCTGTAGGCTGCTCCACCTCCTCTCTGTAAGCTGCTTCATCGTTCCTGCTGATGGGACCCACCACAGTGGTGTCATCAGCACATTTTACAATGTCATTTGAGTTTGTCCTGGCCTTACAGTCATGAGTAAACAGTAGTGGAATGTGCAGCCTTGTGGGACGCCCATGCTGAGTTAAATGGTGTTGAAGGTCACCCAACTTCACTCTCTGTGGTCTTTCGTGCTGTGTCCCAATTCGGGGGCTGCATCCTTCTAAGATGAATGCATCACAGCAACAGGACAAGGCTGTCCTATTTCAAAGGGTCCTTCAAATACTGTCTAGAAATGTGACCATCTTTTGCAGAGTTGCGAAAGATCCATCCATTGAAGTTGTTCAGTTAATGCTTAGATACTGTACATGGAGGAACAATGGCCATGGATGGCTTTTCCGTTTTTCAGGCACATGTGTCTTCCCCAGCCTTATGGGAATATATATTGTTTTTTACCGGTCCACTGCTGCCACAGATACTTTGGTATGCGAGCCAATACTTCAAAACCATTTGATGAATCTTTTTTTAAACTTTGCACTTTATTGGTGAGGAAATAAAACTACTTACATTTTTAGGAAGATAACCCCAAAATGTAACTAGTGCTGCAGAGTGATAGCAAAAAACTCCGCTTGATTCTGTCAAAACAATAACTCAAAAAGTTTTTGATGGATCTTTTTCAAACTTTGCCCAGGCATTGTATGGGTGAGGACCTAAAACTGATTATATTTTGAGACAGATTGTCCTGATATTGAAGCAGCACCACATAGTGAAAAAAGGGCAGTTTGGGTTGGTTTTCTCAATTATACACTTCACTTCGGATTAAAGTGTCTTCAAAATAAATGCAAATGTGCAATTGAGCTGGCAGTGCTGGGGCTAAAGGCACAAGCTTACATGGCAGCCTGCACCATGACACTACAATATTCCAAACAGAGGCTGCCTCAATACTCATGCAAAAAATCTTCCTAAAATAAAACTAATCCTCTAAAGCACAAACTCCACACTTACAGTAGCTTACAGATAAATGCCAAGTACTCTTAGGAATCTGAGCTTGCACAGTTGGATGATTTAAAAGCCCTTCTTTTTATATATGACTAAGTGTGAAACAGCGGTGATAATTTTTCCTAGAATATGGCGCTGTTATTTTTCACAAATAAAAAGGACAGCATGTGAAAGACCTCTCCTCCTACCTTGCATTAGTCCAGAAACAACATAATGAAAGATTAATACATTTAACTCAATTAGTATCTCTCAGCCAAAAGCCCTAATGGCCTCTCTCAGCAGGGTATACGGCAAGGTAAATATGCTGGATAGTATGGTGGGCAAGGAGGCATGGAAGATACTAGTGCAGAGGAAATACCTCTGGAGGGGCAAGGTTTCTATAAGGACACAGGAGAGGATGTAACGAAGGGGCTGTGTTCGCTAATTGAGTGAGGTGCCCTTCTTCCCAAAAGTGGGCAGGCACCCGACCTTTGGTCCCGGGGCATGCTGGTCTTCCTCCAGGCGGTCTAGTGACAGGGGAAGAGGAACGCGTAAGTGTACCCTGGACTTTCTCCCTGACCTTCTCTCCAGCTCAGGCGTTAAGCTGCGCTAAGGAAGATAATCCCACCCCCTGTTTGGGGGCAATTAGCGGCCACCAGCTGCGTCCTGTTAGCATTACTCTCGGGAGCTTCCGGGCTGACCGCGAGGAGCCCGCTGTTGCTGTCCCTCTGAGTGGTGCTGATCGACGGCTACTTGTACATGGCAGATTCCTGGAGGGCCATTGCATCACGAGAGATTATCTCCTTTTGCGAATTACAGTGCATACTACTGGGGTTGCTTTTAGATGATGCAATTAAAAAAATGTATTTATGCATATATTTACATCAGCTGTCAAAATTCTAATTTTATAGGCATAATAATTTATTTGACTGGAACACACCACATCCAGTAAGGAAAAATAGGGTATGCAATTTTAATACGATACACTTTTTGTCAAGTTCAGAAAATTTGTTCTCACAGTCCGCAAGCTGTGCGCATTGAAATACAACCCAGTGTTTCTACTCTGTAAACAGGGATAAACAAAGTGGTTTGGTCAGAGCCACACAACACAACCCATTTGCTGGAATTTATAAATACATCATCTCAGGAAATCACAGGATGACATGCAAATATCTTGGTGTCCTGCTATATTCCATGGAGGTCACTGTCTAGAGAAGAGGTCATGTGAAGGTCACGTGTTTCTGGTGTGGAGTGGGGCTCCAGTGGAGCTCTTATGGAGGTCCTGTGTATCCGGTCTGAAGTGGAGGTCCTGTGTATCCGGTCTGGAGTGGAGGTCCTGTGTATCCGATCTGGAGTGGAGGTCATGTGTTTCCTGTTTAGAGTGGAGGTCACATGAAGGTCATGCGTTTACGGTCTGGAGTGGAGCTCTAGTGGAGGTCACGTGTTTCCTGTCTACAGTGGAGATGATGTGTTTCCAGACTGGAATAGAGGTCAGGTGTTTCCTGTATAGAGTAGATGTCATGTGAAGTTCACGTGTTTCCAGTCTGGAGTGGAGATCACATGTTTCCTGTACAGAGTAGAGGTCACGTGTATCTGGTCTGGGGCCTCCTGCAGTCTGTAGCCAGACCCTCTCCCTGAAGCCACACCTGCTCCTCCTTTCTGCTTCCCCCATCTCCTCTGGAACTGGAGTTGGAACTTAAATCTCCCTGAAATTCAAATTCAACTCCAATTCTGTTCCCTGTAGTTTTTTTTCCAATCCCAGCTCCAGTTCCATTTCCTGCTTTGGACTGGAATTGATCAATGCATTCCGGAATGGCCCCAACCCTGATGTGCAGTCACCATGTGAAAATTAAAGAGAAGCATATGTAAAATGGGAATTATTGATTCAACGGAGGGGCTCTTTTTTTTTTTTTAACTCGGCGCAGTTTATTTTGTCAGTTATTTTGTGTAACAGTTGCCGGTGCTCCTTCCTGCGATTATTTTCTCTGCAGCTGAGTGAATTGATCTTGTCAGACTTGCTGTCTATTTCTAACAAGTAAGTGATTCTAGATTGAGGGGTTTTATGTACAGAAGCAATAAATGCACTTTCTTTCACCAGCTGAAATACTGTGTTTGCGCTGGAAAAACATTTTAAAACTTGAACAAGATGATCTCCTTCATTTAATACACAGCATGTCACATTCAGTCAATATCCTGATTACAGAATACATCTATCAACTAATATTTAAATCTTTTGATCAAGTATAGGTCTGCTGCACTCAAACAAAGCTAAACTATTTATATGTATTTATTCCAGTAAAGGCATTGCAGTGTCAGTGTTATGTAAGGTGTGATGACCTTTTCCCTCTTCACTCATGCTGGAACGAGACAGCTTTGATGCTGCAGGTATCTCACAGGCAAAGATGCTTCCATCTCCTTTTTGATGTTGGCTTTGTTAGCAAAGTGTCTTCGAGATCAATAGCTGCTGGATTTTACAGGGAGGATGGACTCTTCCTGTAAACACTTTGTTTCAAATTCTGCATGAAGTATTAATAATATTTGTTTTATACTGAGATATACAATATTCATTTCACACTAATGGACATCTAATGTAATTTCCATAAGACCATACAGAGACCTCCCCAGATTTTTGCTTCTCGGAAGCAAGATCTGAGAAATGTGCCTTGTATCAGAGAAAAAGACTAAGAAACCAGAAATTTCACTGGTTTCGCTGTTGCTCTTAATGGATTAAACTCTTCTTTCCTTTAAATATGACTTTGAATAGATAAATTGTTAGGAAACCACAACTGACTATATTATGTTTATTTTTAAATATATAGGCTGTCAAGTATGATAACAATAAGGACAATTTCCTGAAAATTAAAATGAGTGTGGAAAATTCCATCCATCCATCCATCCATCCATCCGAGTCCAGTTCGCGGGGGCAGCAGTCTAAGCAGACATAGCCAGACCTCCCTCTCCCCAGCCGTCTCCTCCAGCTCCACCTCAAATATCAAAGACGCATTGGTTGTATCCCATCATTCATTGCACCCCGCGTTCGTTCTTGGGGTCTTGGCAAGACAAAGAGTACGATCTTTGTGTTCTTGGTATTGAGAAAAACCCATAATCTCCCCAGCATGTCCTGAGTCTGCCCTGGGGCCTCCTCCTGGTTGGACATGCAGAAGCACCTAACCAGATGTCCAAAATACCTCACCTGGCCGCTATCAATGCGGAGGAGCAGCGGCGCTACTTTGAGGTCCTCCTGAATGTCCGAGCTCCTCTCCCTCTCTCTGCGGCTGAGCCCAGACACCCCTGCGAACGAAACTCATTTCACCCCCTGCCTCCTCCACCTATTGAAGCAGGTATGATGAAATATAATAAAAAAATTGCTATCCTTTACCATAGTGAATTTGAATTGTTTCCATGTTGTTACCATAAAGGAGTTTCCACCCATGGATTTGTGACTGTTTATGATGGAGGTAATTGGACCCACTTTTGTTTTTCTTTCCCATTAAATCAGCTACAAGTTTGTCTGAAGTTCATTGTAGCAGAACTAGAGTTACTTTAATGAAATTAAATTGTATTCGGTGGACATGATTTTATAGGGAACCCAGGTGCACTAGCAGCGACCTCGTGGATAATGACCTAAAGTGTGGAGTCCAGTGGCTCTTCAATGACTAGAAAGAAACTGATTCCTTTTGATTGATCGATTGATTCATTCATTCATTTTTCATACATGCTTGCAGGGTATCGTATCCCACAAGAAGCAAACATATTACAGCCGCGATGAGTTGCCCCCCCATCCTGGTTTATTCCCCGCCTTGTGCCCATAGCTTATGGGATAGGCTCTGGACCCCATGACCCTGCATAGGACAAATCGGGTACGGAAAACTGATGAATGGATGTGTTTATTAAACGCAATCAACAATACCAGTCACTAACTTACGGGTGAAAATACGAAATATCACAAGGCATAAGTCTATGTTAAAAACATTCCGATTACATGGTGCATCCCTCTCTCATAACCATTTATCCAGTACAAGATCACAGTGAACCTTTCAATAGGATATGGCCAGTGCATCTCAGAGCACACACATATAATCACACATACAGGCCAATTTGAAGACAGCGGTTAGCAATTCCATGTATTCCCAAGCATAATTCCTGAGGATGTTATTTCTTATGTAACAAACAAGCAAACAAATAAATAAATAATTAAGCCTTTCTTCTAAACTAAGCTTACCAATATATTGTCATTTTCCATTCAAATATACAATCAATTTTCTACCCAAAAAGTTCACACAGAATGACTAATGGAACACACAATTAATGATGGATTTATACATATTTTCACTCACATCGTCAAATGCTAAGGACTAGTTAATTAGTTACCATTTTGGCTGAACCTGATTTAACTTTATGATGCTATAACATCACTAGTGATTTTCCAGATAACAGATTTCAGCTCTGTTGATACCCATCTAACCATTTTTATTTCTCCCAAGAGAGTAAATTAAATGAGTCTGAGATGCCACTAAATCAAGTGCTTCATTATTTGTTTTCTAGAAAGCATTTATACAACAAGCAGACTTTTCCTTCCTGCTGTGACCCAAGCATTACTATGCATCATAATGAAGATGATTCTGAAATAAATTCTAAAAATGTAACAATTTATCCATATATATATATATATATATATATATATATATATATATATATATATATATATATATATATATATATATATATATAT